AGGGGCTGCTCGAAAGCGAGGCGATCTTGAACCCGTTAAGCGAGGCGATGTCGGCGTCGGCGGGGTCGGCCAGCAGGTGGAAGAACATGACACCGGAGCCGTCAGGCTTCGGATTGTCGATGCGCAGCGGGAGAACGTCGATGTCGACAGCGGCGGCGCTCGAGAAGAAGCAGAAGGCCAGCACAATGGCCCACAGGGCAAAGGTAAGACACGAAGCGGAGGTCATTCCGGAGCGCTTCGTCATGATGGTGAAGTGGGTCAGTCCGCTTGGTGAAGCTGGCACTGGTGCTGGTGGGCTGAGTGGTTGTTGTTGTTGTTGGTACAAGAGTGAAGAACTAGAAGGGCGGAGCGGTACCTTTTTATATTGGACGGCCGGCCTAGGAGGTGCTGCCGCCTAGCCTGCCGGAGCTTTGCGGTCTCGGACTCTGCGCCGCGCCCTTTCGGTAGTGCTGCACTTGCGCGGAGACCCCGTGGCACCCGGCTGGATGCCGTCCCAGCTTTGGGTCCTGTGCGAGGACGCACGCCCCGTTTCCGGGCACCCACGCCCACGATCTATCACCGAGTTAGATCAACATTGGACTGTTGCCCGGCATGCCCTCTTTTGTGCGTCCTCAATTACCAACCGGCACCTTATTTAGAGCACGATCACTCGAAATTTCATTATTAGTAATGGTCACCAACATTTACAACGCAACTCGGAGAAATGTCAATGATCTGTGGTCTGTGAGCGTGTGCTTACCACACTATCTCCTTTTCCATGGCCTTGGCGACGAGGATCTGTCGCAGCGTGGGGTTGTAGAACGTGCTAATTGCTGCGTGGTTGAACCAGGAGAACGAAGCGTTGAAGAACCCCGGCGCCCACCCTCTCTTTGGCTGCACGTTTCGATCCCAAACGAAAAAAGTTAGTGTGTGAGCACGCCACCGCACACGCTCACAAAGACAAAATAAATAAATAAATAAATAAATATCAGGTGCTGCGGGTGTACGGTGCGAAAGCAGTAGGCGGCCTGGGTGTCGGACGAGGAGCCAAAGATCTCTTCGTTTTCGTCCAGACAGGGATAGGAGATGTCGAACGGGCGCGTCTTCTGGCCGTAGGGGCCGGAAAGGAAGTAGGCGAACGGGGTGAAGTCGCCTACGACGTTGAGGCTGAGCGCCGGCTCCTTGAACTCCCGCCAACCATAGCGCCTTGGGGCTTTCCGCGCGTTTTCATCGTCTTCGTCGTATTCGTGTTCGTTTTCATCGTCTTCGTCTTCGTCTTCATCTTTGGACTCAGTCAGTGCCTTCTTGCCCTTCTTCTTCTTCTTTGTCCCCTTTGCCTTCATTTTCTTTCTGTCCGGACAAGCGGGCGGCGGGCTAAGCAGGTCCAGCTCCTCCGCCAGCTCCCGCTCCTTGCTGCAAGGCATTGAAGCAGAGAGCGAAGAAATCAATTCAAGCCCAGCATAGCAAGCCACAATCGCTCCGCGCCGTTGCGCTTGCGCGGGCGATGCGTACCCATGGAGGAAGGCGTAGCAGAATCGGGCCAGAGTGATCGTGCAGCTTTTGCCAGCATAGCCGATCTGCATCTCTTCGCCGGGCTTGGGCGCGTGCTTGTTGCTGGCCATGGGTGTGAGTGACACCAACGCAAAAGTGCAATCGGTGGGGAGAGAGTGCGCGCCGTACGTGCTCAGAAGGGACAACAGCACCGCCAGTCGGTGGAGGCGGTAGTGAACGTCGCCACGAGGGTAGTGGGGCAGATCTACCATACAAACATCCAGTTTGCTCGTTTCACAGGATTCCTGGTTGAAGAAGAGGCGTAAGTGGGCGAGTGCAGAGCGGGCGGGCAGACATCGCAGTTGACGAACCTCCTGCGTGCGTTCGCACCAGTCGGTAAACTTGCTTTTGAGCGCGTCGGCGAGGTGGGGCAGCCTCAGGCGCGGCATGAGACGACACGCGGCGATGTAGCGGTAGAACCAGGTACCGCCCACCGTCCCTGGGCCATCGCTGCCTTTCGATTCGAGCGCACGGCGCACATGTTCGATGGACTCCTGCAGGCTCGAGTCGTCCACCGGGCCACAGCCACCTCTTGCGTCCTTGCTCGACTCCTTCTTTGTCTTTTTCTTCTTCTGCTTCTTCTTCTTCGATGCGACCTTAACCTTGACCTGATCCTCGTCCGAGTACTCCCAGTCCGGGTGCTCATCGTCTTCGGCATGCCTCGCGTAGTTGACATGTTCTTCATCCTCCTCGGCGTAGTAGGAGTAGCTCCGCGAGACTGGCTTGTCTCCCTTCCTCGCGAGCTCCTCGTCGGTCGCACCTTCGCGCAGGGAAAGAAGAAGAAGAAGAAGGTCAGCCCGGCTGGCATCCAGGGCATGCAGAGAACTCAGGGAGGAGGGAAGACGATGTAAAGAAGAAGAAGGGGACAATACCAAAGACGTGGGGACCGAACATGCGGAGGAAGTGGGGGCGCCACAGGGGGTCGGACGAGGCGAGGCTGCCCCAATGCCGGCTCACGGCTCTCTGCTGCAATAGCTGCTCCGGACCGCCGATGAAGCTCAGCACGTGCAGGAGACAATCGTCGTTGAGCACCCCGAGCGGCGATGTGCCGGTCTGCGCGGCTGCAGTGACCCTGCCCCGGTTCGTGCGCTTGGCAAGACGACGCTTCCTCAGAGTTGCACCCGCTACATTTTCTGTGTGTACCCCCTTCACCTCATCTTCCGTTTTCGAGTGCTTACGTTTGCCCATCCTCGTGCGAGCTTGTAGGTGAAGGAAGAACCACGATAACAAGGAAGAAGCGAAGCCTTCCTGGTAAATCATTTATAGAATCGGGGCAGGAAGGAGAAAGGAAAAGGAAAAGGACGGAGAACGCAAGGAAAACAAAAATAAAGAGCGAAGATGGCTGAGGGACGACCGAGGAAGGTTATTGTGGATACCGATGGCGGCATCGATGATCTGCTGGCTCTCGCCCTCGCTCTCAAATCTCCTGAAGTTGAGATAATCGCCATCACCACAGTACACCTTCCCACCCACACTGGTGCTCGCAACAGGAAGGATCCTCACCATGTGGCCGAGGATATCTGCTGCACAGGTGTGCGGCAACGTGCCAGTCGATAGGGCGACATCCAACATCCAGCTCCTCTTCCACTACATGCAAAAGCAAGAGGTGCGTTTCTTCGATTTGCACGCTGGAGCCTTCAGATTGATTTTACCGCCCCGCAGGGAGGAAACAAGCTTCGCTTCCCCCACATACTCGCTGTGGGCGCGCCCAAGCCCCTGCGGAGACTGCTCGTCACGGCCGAGTACTTTCGTACGTGCGCCGAACCCGGTGGTTCGCGTGCGAAGACAATCACATCGCACCCACTCATGAACGCACGAGTGCAGACGGCGAGGACGGCGTGGGCGGGATCACCACCCTCAAGGACGAGGCCACCGACACGCTCATCTACGCGCCGCCCCAGGGCAACTTCACGCTCCACCACCAGCCCGCCGTGCGTTCTACCTTCTTCTCTTCTCTTTTCTTTTCCGCTACTTCCTTGGTCATAGACTCGAACTTACAATCGTGTCGTGCGCACAGGTCGATGTGCTGTTGGACCTCCTGCGGACCCACGAGCCCGGCGAGATCACCATTCTCACGATCGGTATGAAGCCCCTCGAACCAGCAAACCAAACTGTAACCGAACACGACACACGCGGCTCATTGCCTGACACACCGATGATGATGCAGGCCCGCTGACCAACATCGCGCTGGCGGCCGAGGCCGACATCGAGACCCTGCGCCGCGTCCACGAGATCGTGATCATGGGCGGGGCCTTCTTTGCTCCCGGCAACGTGACGCCTCACGCCGAGTACAACATGTATGATATTCCCGCGCCGGCCCTTCTCTCGCATCTTGCACATCGCATGTTCACTGATTCGCTGCCGGCAGCTACGCTGATCCCGAAGCGGCCAAAGTCGTGTGCGAGGCCCGGCTGCCGCTCGTCTTTGTCCCTCTCGATGCCACACACCTCGTCCCGTACGCCCGTCCCTCCAGTCCCTCGCTCCCTGTGGTGGTGGTCGTTGCGATGCGGCCTCGCTCTGATGCGCAACACTTTTGGTGCTACTGATCACCGATCGTACGTGGTTCAGGTTTGCGGAGGAGAGCCTGCGGCCCTGGTCCGACAAGTCCCCGATCGCCAAGTTTGTGACCGACCTTACGGCCAAGGCCTACGGCAGGAAGGGTACGCAGCTGCTCTCTGCCCTTACCTCATTCACAGTAGTGGCGCACTGTTCGAACAGTGCCCCTCGCTTCCAACTGAACGATGTCTCTGCAGACACGTTCCACCTGCACGACCCCGTGGCCACGGTGGTGGCGATCGACGAGGAGCAGCGCATGACCAAGCGAAAGAGGTTCGGCTCGGCTGTGGTCGACTGCACGCCCGAGTTCGACGGCAAAACCACTGTCACTGGTACCGCCCGTCCTGGACTTGTTTTCTTGTGACCCTGCGCTTTACGGTCACTCACACCACCTGATTTGCGCAGAAGCCGTGGTGAAGGCCGACGACGAAGAGGGCACAAGGCGAGCCTACGTCGACGTGGTGCTCGAAGTTGAGACAGACCGCGTCCTGTCCTTCTTCATGGAGCGGGTCCTTCACCCGTAACCGTTAAGGTTGCTTGACATGTTTACAAATATAGGGTATGATGTGTGATGGGCTATTTATGTTTTGGGCGTTTTATATTTACAGTTGCACGGCCGCCACGTTTGTTGTTGTTGGGCCCTTCAGCGGGTCTGTGCGACAAGAGGGGAGGAGACATCGCCGGCGAGTTGCGTTCGGCACGCGATGGGCACGTCGAACCAGGAGCTGTGCGGCCGGGCGGCCTCCATCTCGGCGGTGGCGTTGGCGGGCTCGACGTAGAACACGTACTCCTCGTCGGCGGTGGCGCGGCTGAAGAGCACCAACCGATCGGCGTCCTCCAGCGCCACGCCCACCGACACGGTCACGCCGGCGGCCTTGTAGCGCCACAGCTGGTAGGCGTCGGTGCCGGGCGTGGCGAGGCCCACGGGAGCGGCCTTAGCAACCCAGTCCCACGCAAAAGGCAGCCACTTGGCCGTGAGGTCGCTTTCGCGGCACTTGGCGGACTGGCCCGCGACCTGGTAGTGCTTGCCCTGGTCGTAGCGCAGCAGGTCGTGAACGTCGTGCTGCTGAAGGTCGCTATCGTAGAACTCGAGCACGTCAAGAGCCTTACCCTCCCTATAGTCCACTACCCACTTGGCTGGAAGAAGAGGGGAAGGCGTGAATTGTAGGAAGTAGAGGAAGTGCTACTTCTTTCAAGAAGTTACTAACGTAAAAGAAGGGGAAGGGGATGTACCTCGGCCATAGACGAGGGAGTTGTTTTGTCTGAGGGTTACGAGGCCTTGCAGTTCAAAGGTCTCGCTGAGGTTCGGGCGAGTCTGGGCGAGAGCACAGCCCACGATCGTGGCGAGGACCACCACGGCGAGCAGCAGCTGCTTGTTCATCTTCCTTCTTCTGTTGTGTTGTGTTGTGTAGGCGGGCCGTACGGCGAGAGAGCTGTGCTCGTGTCTGGTGTCGCAGAAAAGAGTGGCTCTTGTTGGAAGGCTTGTTCGAGGTAAAACAACAAGCGGGTCGTACAGAAATATCAGAGAACAAGAGCAGAAGACCTGACATGCTGCCAATCAGCGAAGAAGCCCGATGCGGCAGCGAGCTCACCGTCGACCCACTTCTTCTCCCGAAGTGATCCCGACTTGGTAGTCGTCTATTTTCGGTAGACAATACCAGCACCCGACCAATGCGCGCTTCGCCAGTTCGGTGACAGACGCACGAGATCAACATTCGGCCCTAAAACAACGCAGCACGGTATTTTGGGAGTTGTTGTTACCAAGAATGTAAAATATTAGTTGGAGAAATAACACGAAATTTTCTACATTTTTTCATGTGACCACCAATCAGGCACCTCCATTCGGTGAAAGAGTTTGCTGGTGAAGAACGATGGAGAAGGAAGGAAAGGAGGCCGTACGCCCGGATGTCAAAAGTCCATCTCTTCATCAGTTGTCCACTCTTCGTCTTCCACCTCCACCTCTTCGTCTGAGTCCTGGCGAAGCACACCGCGACGTGCCTGTACAAGAGAGAGGTGAATCCCCTGCGGGATTGGGGTTGCGTCGAAGCCCAAGGCAGGAAGGAACGCACCTGCATGGCCGTGGCAAGGATGACAGCCAAGTCGGCGCCCTCCTTTTCGTCCATGTCCACCAAGTCCGGGATGGGAAGGTTCTGCACGACGACGACGACGACAAGGTCACCACTCTCTTAACACTCACCACTCTCATGTGACACTTTGATTGAGCTATGGGGAATCATGGTTTTACCTTGACGTATTGCGAAGTCGCGCTGTCGGTCGGCTTGTCGCTCTTCTTCAGACGGGCCTGCAGCGCGGCAGCCAAGCCGCCAGCTATGGGCGCCGGTGGGGCCGGAGGCGGCGGCACCGGCGGTGGAGGTGCGGGGGCCTGCTCCCCAACTCTACTGGTCAGTTCACAGCTTTAACGGGTCAATGGTGGGTGGCAGGTCAGTTGAAGGGTGGGTACCGCTTCCGGGGCGGTCGTCGGTCCGCCGGCGCCTGCTGCGGTTTCGCGCCGGACCGCCTGGGGCGAGCCGAACTGGGTCGGAGCGTGGGCCTGGCCTCGCAGCGTTTGGCGAGTGTGTGCCACAGTCTCAATCAGGAACTTGGCCGTGTCCGCGTCCTTGAGATCGCTCTTCTTCACGCCTGAAGAGAGCGGGCAGAGTATGAAGGTCAAGGAGAGAGCGCGAGGGCAACCATGAAAGGTGGTGATGGTGGTGCAAGGAACGGACCGGCAGCCTGGAAGAGCTTCTTCCACTCGAGCGGAATGTTTCGCACTTTGAAGCCGTCGCGCGCATCCCAGCCGAGATGGACCTCGTGTTTAACGTTCGTCGGCCCAGAGATGACGGAGATCGTCTTGTTGGTGGGCTCCTTCTTCTTGATCAAACGCGACAGAATGCCCGACCTGGAATCGGGCAAACATGGAACACCAACCATTCAATCAGCTTTTCGCCATTCACTTCAACAAGCGGCACAAGGTGTACTTTCGCTTGCCCTCTGGCTTCAGTGGCGGCGGCTCTGTGTGGGGCGACGACACCTCGGCAATGCCTCCCGCCGCCCTGAACTGGCTGGCAATGGCGGCCAGCTTTTCACGCGATGGCGAGTGATCGAGCACCTGGGCCAAAGGACCGGCGTCCGGGGTGAGACAAAGGCGCAAGGACTTTGGCTCACAAAGCGAGTAAGAAAGCCGTACGGCCTTGGCTAGTCTTTGGGCGTCGCCTTCGTGCGCAAAGGCCAGTCCGATGACAGTGTCGTTGGACTCGAAGAAGTGGAAACTGACGTTGCTGCAGTCGTACTGGAACTCGTAGTAGAGCTCCTGCGTCCATGCCAACTGCTTGGTCTTCAGGTCGATCAACCGCAAGTGGTACGCCATCTCGTTCTTGACATACACCTTGTATGCGGATAGAATGGCGTGGTGAGTGTCCAGTTTGCCGCCCGGGCGGATAGCGAAGGTTGGTGGTGGTGATACCAATCCCATGGCGCCCCAAGCTCCCGTGTAGTGCCAGCTGCCGTCGTCGTTGCCCTTGTACATGCGCGCAACGGCTGCAAAGTTCCAACCAAGATTCAATCAATAATGAACTATGGTCGATCGTGAAGCCAAGGGGGAGGAACCAGCAGCTTTCACCGTGCCGCCGGCCTCGGAAACGATCGGTTTGAGCTCCTCCTTTCCCAAGCCGGCCACTTCCAGCTCCATGTTTATAAATAAATAATTAAGAATAGTCGTCTGCCCTCTCTACCCTTATTTTCTTCTCTTCGTGTTGCACCTGCGTCCAGGCAACGAACGCGCGTGGCGCTAGTAATGGTAAGTTAGGCCCAAGAAAGGAAAAGAATGTGTGGCGTGCAACTGCACGTTGGTGTGTGCGCTATAATACTGTGTGAGTGACCCAAACACACTCTGTCTGTCTCTCCGTGCGGGTACCGTCACAGCCCCAGCGTGATGACGTGGTGGCCGTTCCACTGCTCTTTACGAAGTCGCCTCAGCTGTGGAGCACTGAGTTCCGTTTGTTGAAGGGACCCTTGGGAAAATTGGGGTCGGGCGCCGTGCTGGCACCTGGTGCTGGCTTCCGCATTGTCGCGAAGCCCGCTGGAGACCAAGCACGAGTGTGTTGTCAGCGGGAGGAAGTGCGCGTGTGCGGTGGTGAGTGTGCGCGTGTGGAAGGGAATCCCAAGTACCAGGCAGGGGACCGCGGCTCGAACGGGAGCCGAGGTCTTCTCCACCGGCTGACGAGCCCAGGCCAGCGCTGGCGCTGCTGCCCTCGAGACTCTGCACCTTGGCCTGCCACTCGGCGATCTCGCGCTCGAGATCGGCGTTGCGCGCTCGGACAGCGGACAGTCGCTCGCGGCTCTCCTTCTCGCGGGCGTCGAGCTCCAGCAGGCGGCGATCGAGCTCGCGCTTGCGCTCCTCCTCGTGCTCGATTAGTCGGTGGATGGTATCGTACGAGTTAATGGAGCTGCCCTGCCCTTCGCCGTCACCGTCGCCCTCTTGGTCATCACCCGATCGCGGCGATGACATCTGCTCGCCTGCGCAGAGAGAGAAGACACGTCTCAGTTTGAGAGGTCCGTGTCGCGTGAGACCACCTCCAACGGTCGCAGAGGTGGAGTACTGCTGAGGTTGTCCTTGTTGATGAACAGGGACTGTTCCCGCTGAAGCTCGCCCGGCCTCTGTCGTCGTTTCGGTCGGGACTTGAGTGCCTTGTTGATCTCATCCTCCTGTGAGAGCACACACACACACACCAAGACAGCGGTGGGGTGGCGGTCAGTGTCGAGTAATGAGCACATTTTTGAGGATAACGTGAACGCGTGCGTGCCTGTAGTTGCTGCTTGGTGTTCACGATCTCTGAGCGCCACTTCTCCTTCTCGAGTGCTTCCTTGAAATCGATCAGGAGACACACCCCTTCGTCCTCCAGCTCGAGCCTCGTGTCGCCGGGATCTCGCACGATGACTTCATTTCACCGCCAACACAAAGGAGGGTCGGGTAAGTGACTACGCCGAGCTGTGCGAGAAAACAACAACGCGAGGCGAGGCGAGGCGAAGAGACGTACTCGAGCGAATCCAAAGCATAGCCACAAACTTGAGCTGCTTGCTGAGCATGCGCGGACGAACCTGAATGACGACGTCGCTGAAGAGCAAAAGCTCACTCGACTTGGGAGCCTTGCCGTTTGTCTGTTGTACAACGGGCAAAGGGCATGTGAGCATTACGCCCATGGCGAGTTCTTGTCATCAGCAGAGCGCGGAAAGCGGCGCGCACCTGTGCAGAGTAGGTGCCTCGGAACAGGAACCTCCGGTTGGCCTCCACGAGCGTGAACGTGGGCGGCAGATCGGTGAGCAACGAAGCTATCTCCACCACGCTGATCCATTGAACCGCCCGAAACATAGTGAGTTTCCTCTGAAAGCGCCCAGGTCACGGAGCAAAGAGCGGCCGGCTCCCAAAGGTACCTTTGCAGACTCTCCGCCATTCGCTTCGCTTCATTTACATGGCCAGCCACCTGCTGCAGCCGCTTCTCAATCTCGAGCAACTTGGCGTACTCCTTCGGGTTCTCCTCCGTGTCTGTGTTCCTGATCAGCTCCTGCGGGTACCGAGCAGAGCGTGTTCGCATCCGACTCAGTCGTCAGTGTCGCCGTCAAGGCGGTGGAGAAGGGGATGGGCGTGGTTGGGCGTACTCGGAAGAGGAGGGGGTATTTGCAGATGCGCTGGACCGGTTTGATGAGGTAGTCGGTCAGGTCCAGCTTGGAGGCCGAGGAATTTTTCAGCTCCTGCTCAGGCGCCCACGTCAGCATGGCGAGAGGAAGAAAAAGGAAGGAAGATGGTCGAAGCTGTTACTAAATGATAATAAAAATAAAAATAACAATAAAAATAACAATGAAAGGAGGTTGACGCCGTACCCGACAGAAGTTCTGGAATTGAGGCTTCTGTTTCTGCATCGTTTGCGTAAACTTGAGGGCATTGGGGTAGTTGGTACAATAAACGCTGTACATTTTGAAATACTCGACCTGATCACGCCCAAGAAGGAATTACCATTTAGTGTGTCTTCTTACGTGCTTCCGGGGGGAAGAGAGGTTGAAGAGCTCTCCAATGCACGCGCCGTACCGTGGAAAGCCAGACATCGGCAAAGGATTTGCCTGATGGTGTCACCTTGGTGGTCTCATCCACAAGCATCAAGTCCTTGAGGAGAAGAGAACGCAATGCGTCAAATGCCACACTAAATGCTACACCGTTTGGTTGAACGGGCAATGAGTGGGAGGCGGAGAAGAGGTACCCGCAGCAGGGCGTTATTGATTGAGAGCAGAGAAGGAATGTTGGAGAAGATGGTGGCTCTCTCGTCCTTGTCCAACACTCCGCTGGCCACCAGGGGTCCCATATATTTCTGCGCGCAGTAACATATAGAGGGACGACATAAACATCACGCCGCGAGACGACGACACTGCGAACGGTGCGCGGGTACCTTGACGAGAATGTCCAAGCTCTCCACATAGCTCTTTTCGGTCTCGATGATCTCCTTGCTCACTGCCGCCCTGTGACGTACTTTTCGCTCCTCCTCCGTTTCCTGCGCGTGTGTCGTGTGTCATTGTGGTGAATGTCGGGTTTCAGTTAAATGGAGAACGCCGCAGCAAGAAGTGAAAGTCGCGGCGTGCGTCCACTACTCTACCTTGTCGGTCTTCTCGTCGTCGTTGTATTGGTGTTGGTAGTTCTCCAGCTCCTGTTGAGGAGCAGGCGGGCACAAACGCAGAAGGAGTGAGTACACTTTTGATCGTGCATACCGTATGCTCGCCATACAATCAAAGTAGTAGTGGTCGTTCTTACCTCCTCAATGGCGCGCGTGTTCATTTCGGTTTCGACATCTTCATAGTAGACGTACTCCCCGTCGTACTCGTAGTAGCCGACCAGATCCCACTGTGTGTTGCCGTCGTCGTCCTGCGTTGTGTTGGCACGATCGTCAGTGTCAAAAAGAGAGAACAAAGCGAAGAAGAACGACGGCGTCTGTGCAAGGGGGCATTGCAATAGAGCAGGGTGCGCATGGCGTACGAGGTAGTACTGGTAGCCGGTCTCCTCGTCGTCGTAGTAGGGCGGTATCTCGCCATTGCGCAGCCGGGGCGGGGGCGGCTTGGCCTTGGCAGTTGTGGCTTCGGTAGAGACGGGAGCGGGCAGGTAGAGCGAAGAAGAAGGCGAAGAAGAAGCTGAGTCCAACGCAAACTCGCTTGCAAGTTGCGCTAGCATGTGTGAGGAAGCCGACCGCGGCATGCCGCCCTCTTGTGAGGAAGACGAAGACAGAGACGACGAAGTGGTTGGTGGTGAGGGGGCAGATGCTGTGTAGCCGACGTCCACGCCTCTCCCATCACTCTGATAATCTCCATTCTCATAGTTGGTCGCTCCATCTTCACCCTCGGCGTAAGAAGGATAAACGTAGTTCCCATTCTCGTCGTAGTAGCCTCCATTCTCATCGTAGTACTCGCCGTTGCCATCGACGTAGGCAGATTGATTCTCATCGTAGTACTCGCCTCCACTGCCGTTTGCCCAATCTGATTGGCCCGCGTAGTCCCCTCCTCCATCTCCACCATCGCCCCCTTCTGGATACGCGCCCCCATAATCGTAGTTGCTGTAATCGTAGTCTTGTCCCTCGACAAAGCCAGTAGCTTCTTGGCCCTCGTAATACGACATCGCGTACTAGCCCACCACGATCGAAAGCTGTGTGGTGCTACACGCCAATTGAAACGCTCTTTCTTTAGTAATCAATTACACGCGATTAATGGTTTGATTCAAAATTAATGGAAGAAAGAAGCGACAAACCTCCCAGAAGCGAAGACTACGGAGAAGATGAAGAGCAAAGGTTGTGCACTTTGCGGGACCAAGGAGGCGCTCGCTGCTGAGACAAGCTCGGCCTTCGTTCTTCTCTTTGGCGACGCAGGCCCAAATTGCGTGAACACGAACGCCCAGCAATTTCTGGGCACGTGACCTGTGTGCTTCATGGCACCCACCTTTGCTGCTCCCTCCTCCCTCCTGGCTGGACGACGCTTCAGGGCATCTGCATCTCCGTGAGGATGGGCACGGTGAAGTCCGCCGAGGCCGTGGCGAAGATGTACTCCCGCTTGCGGCTCTCCTTGATAGCGTCGGCCACCAGCTTGGCCTTTGCCTGTCAACCGCAAGCAAGTCAGATATCTCTTCGCCACTGTGGCCCTCCTGGGCCTAGGCAATTATGGTAAAGCTGGTGTGGGGCGATCTATCGATACCTCGAGCTTCTTCCTGAGCGCTTCCACTTGGAACTTGCTCTCGAGGTCCTCTTCGTTCATGGTGCTCACCAGCTGCTGCAGGTGGCCGTTCAGACCGTCCTCGCTGTCCGATTGGTAAAATCAGTTCGCTGCCCATTGATGGTACACAACCGCGGTGACGTACAGCATGAACAAAAAGTACTGGAAGAGCCTCAACAGGATGTTGCGGATCTGCCTGTCTTTCGTCTCCTCGTAGATGGTTCTGGTGAGGACCAGGGTCATGTTCAGCAGCTCGGCTTCGTTGTCATCCGCATCAGGCACAAGTCTCATACTATTACGCACAAGTGTAGAAAAATCAGTACAGAATCAGGTAGTAACACTGCGATGGAGCCAGGGAGCAGCGTACTCATTGTAGCCCCAGTAGAGGGTCTCCGTCGAAAAGAACTCCTCAAAGCACTTCTCCTTGCATTTCTGAAAGACAGAGAGTGAGAGGCAGCGGGCAAGATCATAAGAAAGTGGGACGAAGTGCAGACCTGCAGGTTGGCGGTAAGGAACTGCTCAAATGTGTCCTTGACCCAGTGGATGAAGTAGGGATAGCCGATGACCTCGACCTCGCTCCACTCGTTGCTGTCGGCCCTGGCGGCCTCCTGGTTGGCGCCTTCCACGCTCCTTGGATTCTTGAGCTGGTCGAGCGCCAGATAGAAGGACCTGCGAACAATGTAGGCCATCCTGGATGCCATAACAAAGCACAGAGCAAAGGGTGAGCGACCATGGCCAAGCGCTGAAAAGAAGCGAAGGAGCTAAGTGCCTCTGCAAGCCGACATTGATGAGCGGCCCCATGGTGTCCCTCGTCTTCCTTCCGGCCAGCGATGCAGCCTAACGGGGTAAGACCACACTGTCAGCGACTGGCCTGTGGTGAGCCAATATGTACGCTGCCAGGAGTACGCACGGCCCAAGTGATGTCGATCTTGCCGTTATGAATCCTCCGCATTCCGCCGGCAGTGGCCAGGTCTTCCATAGTGATGACGTGATCCTGTGCTCGTTCAAAGGGTCCTGCCTTAGTTGTTCGATCCTGAATACCAAATCGAGGGTGGCCTGACGGCGTACCCGGAGGTAGAGATGGTCGGCGATGGTCCTGAACTCGGCGAGCAGCCGGTCCATCTGCTGGCCGCCATATAATTTACAGTCCCTGCACGAGTTTGCCCACGGTGAGCCTTGAGCCGCTTCTTGCACTTACGCAGGAAAATGAGCGGTGCGTCGCACCTGAACGGGATGCGCCACTTCTTGTCGGCCTTGAGGACTCGGCCCGACTTGTCGGCCCACTCGATGCTCCCTGTGGGCAGTGCACAGTCAGCGTACATGTTGGAGGAAAGGCCGATCTCGAGCGTGAATGCGGGGTTGCAGGTTACCTTGCGCTTGCGTCTCCTCAAGGAGAGTTTGGCCGGTGATGGAGGTGGTGGCCTCCGACGTGCCGTGCACAATTCGGTGGATGGAGTGGAGGAGCGTGGCGACGAACTTGCTCGCAACGCTGCGCATGCCCTGGGCGCTTAGCCGTTCCAGCTCGCTCTGAAACCTCTGCTGCTCAACCTGCGCCGGGTGAATGACCAGAGTTAGTCAACTCTTCTTCGAGTGATTGTTGGTTGGATCCAATGCGAACCTCGAAGCTCTTCTCCTGCTGCCTGATGAGCTGCAGCGTGTTCGGCAGGATGTCGATGTACTGCTTCCACACGTGCTTGAGAAGGAATCTGAGCAGGCACAGAATGCCAATGCTGGGCTCGTATCTGCAAAAACAGTCCATAGAGGCGTTAGCGGTGCCCGTAGGCGTCGGGTGGCCTGGCGGCGATACTTTTGCTTGGCCTTGATGTCCCGCAAATAGGCCATGTCTCTGTGATGTGCTTGCCACACCTTCTCCTGCCATGCCGTGCTTTGCTCACACTTGCTCCTCACCTGGAAGGACGTATGCAATGGTAAGTTAGGATGGACTGTGACGGCCTAGTTGCCTTGGGAGCCCACACGAACCTTGTGCGAAGGCACAGTGACCCAGAAGCAGGGCAATAGAGGATGCTGGCCACCCTTCAAATATCTGTTGATGAGCTCCTTGGTTCCCAGCAGCTGCACGACATCAAAAGATCACGTGAGAACTGAGCACAAGGGAGAAGACTATATTTCGGCCGAAAGCGTGTCCGGGCGTACCGATCTTAGGAAGGGGTTGAACTTGGTGAATACGAGCGCCGACCTATTGAACGCCGGGTCGATCGAGCGCGCCAGCGGCAGGATGCTGCTCTCCTCCCTGACAATGATTGAGAAGCAAAAGCACAGGTAAACCAAAAGCGATCGGCGGTAGGCTGCATAAGGAGCAAGGTCGTCGTACCAAGGTCCAGCTTCCTCGACGAACAACAGGAACCGGTTGGTGTCTTCGCAGGAGACCGAGGCGACGATAGATTCGAGCTTGTTCTGTCAAGGCCAGAAGAGCAGCATAAGCAACCAATCCGAAGCTGTCGCACGGCCATTGAAATGGGGCGGTACCCTAACATCCTGGGGAACGTCACCCGCCGAAGGCGGAGGGGGCAGGCCAGGCGTGTCGATGAAGGTGATGTTGAGAGCGTTGGGAGCGGAGAGGGTCACGTAGATCGGTTTCGGGGAGAGCACCGCCGACCGACGCAAGATCTCCTGAGACAAATTCTTGAGCGGAACCTCGACGTTGTAGTCCTGGAAAAGCGCGTCGCGCTGTATCATACACTTGACCCCTGCTGCGAAGCGGAACAGCGCCACAAAAGAATTAAGTAAAGTCTGTGATGCTACCCGCTGCGGCGTGGCACGACGATTACGCACCATCAGTGGGCTTGGCACCGGGCGAGATGTCGGTGCTGTTCAGAAACTGGTAGCGAACAGGCCTCTTGGTGGCTCCGTCCTAAAGCACGCACGCACACCATCAGCCTCCCGACCAAGGTGTCCGACGGACGGGGTGAAAGAGGAGGTGGTACCAGAGCCAATTGCACGTGTGTGACGATGTGACCGGAGAGGGCTTCGATAAGGGAGCTCTTGCCGTGGCCCCGCTGTCCGATGAGGACAAACTCCACCGGACCGAACGGGGAGTTGAGACTGGGCATAACAAGGGAAACACGTGCGTAAGGTTAACACAGGTTTGGTGGAGCTTGTGTAGCCACGCCTGGGAGGGAAGCGGGAGCGTGTACACTCGGGCAATCTCTTCGAGCTGGCGATGGCTCTTGTAGACCTCTTCGGGCAGTGGAGTGAAGTGCTTTGCCGGGTTGGGATCGTGTTCAGGGACGCCTACCGCCTGCAGCTCGCTCGCCTCATCTCGGACTGTGCGTCCACCACCCCACAGCAAGACAAGCGACAAGCAGGTAAATAAAGGTGGCCCGTAAGAGCTAGCCCGACCGGCAGCCTCGGCTTTGCCTCACACAAGGTACCTGCGTCGAGGGCTCGGTCCTTGGCGCGCATGGCGCGCATTCTCTCCTTTCGCTTCCTAGCATTGTCCTTCCGCTCCTCCTCGGGGCTAAGGTAGATTACTGTACGCTCCTGCGAGCAGTTGAAGTGATTGATGGCGAGACGGAGGGATGCGCACCCCCCAAATCCACGCGTGAAATTGGCGTGATCAGAAGGACCCACGAGCGATTGAGGCTCGGAAAGGCTGAGATGTAGAAGAACAAGGGAAAGGAGACCGGGATTGGGGGGGGGGAGTTCGTACTCTCTCCCTGGCCATCGACAATCTTTTGCTCGCCATCTTCGAGTTGGTTGATGATCAGGCGCCCTGACCTGTCCGTCCAGTCTTAGAATCGAAGGAAAGCGAGCCTTTATCGAACGTCTGAGTGAAGGTGCTCTTTCTCGTGGTGTCGCTCGAGGTCGTGGCAGCCTCGCCTGTCCAACCGGCAGTCCTTTGTTTTCCTTTTTCGTAAATAGTCCAAAAACAAACATCTGAAAAAATGTAAAATACAAAAATTAGAATCAAAATAAACTTGCGGCTGATGGACGAAGATTCTGGCGAACCTCAAGCTTGCATCTCCGTCCGGCAGCTCCATCTTTCTCCCTCGCGGTCGTGTGAGCTTCTATTTTCTCTCATGGTTTCTCTGAGTATTCTCATTTTTAATATGTTATTACTGTCGACGTGGTGCCGCACAGGCGATTGTTGACGTGTTGCTCCTCCTTGTTGTATTTCTTTTTTGACTTGAAGATGGAGGCAAAGATGGATCAAGCACCGTCCTCGCCACTCACGAGCAGCGGAAGTGGGGTTGGGTTACGAGAACGCGGCAGCACACTTACGATTGGGGACAAACGGGTCGGGGGCACCCCCGTGCGACGGAGAAAGGCCAAGGTAGCCGACAGCGGAGGCGACAGCGACGTAGAGCCCGGCGCGACGGCAGAAGGGCCAAGCCCCCGAGGGGCCGAGGCGGGAGCACAAAAGATCGAAAGCGGCGGACACCCACAAAAGAACGAAAGCGAAGACGGAATGGGCGAGAACGGGCGGGAGGACGAAGGCGGCACCGAGGCGGAGAAGGAGCTGCGCAGGAAGAAGGTCGAAGAGATACGCCGGGTGGCGGAGGGGTGGCGCGGCCGTGGTGGGCGCCGGGGCAGCTTCCGTGGCACCCGCTCCAACAGCAAGACCTCGCTCACGGCCAGCAGCGACTCCGCGGACAACGTGGCCGATGGCGACGGCGCGAGTGGCGAGCCGGCCGCGAGGACAGATGATGGGCAGCTGCAGCTCCTGATGAACGAGATCGACAAGCAGGAGCGACCCAGCGACGGTTCGTCTTCGTCGAACGCGTCGGCAAAGGCTGGCGGCGGCGGGCTGCTGGCACCGCTGGCCAAGGGTGGCGGGCAGCGGGGCAGTATACTGGTGCTGGACGAGGCGGCGGCGGATCTGCACCACGCGCTGAAGGAGCAGCACCAGGCCATGCTCGAAGCCGAGAAGGCCGAGGAGGAGCAGAAGCGGGCTGAAGCGCAGCGACGAAGCGAGAAGACGGCCATGACGGGCAACGAAGAGGTCGTCCACCTCCGAAAGCAGATCGACGAGTTGATGGCCGCCAACCTCGCACTCACGCGCGGTTCGTTTCTCTCGCAGAACGACACACGACACACACGACACACGGCACACACACCGCACACGACACACGACACGCAACTACTTACTTGCTGAGTGGTTGGAATGCAGAGCTGCAAATGCGGTCGATGGCGGCCGATGCGATGAAGGAGCAGCTGGCGCAGGCCGAGGCGAAGCGACAGGAGGAGGCGCTGCTCCGGCAGGCCATCGAGAAGAGGCTCTCGGCCAAGCTGGTCGAAATTGAGTCCCACACCGAGTACCGACTGCGCTCCCTCCTGGCCCACCTCAAGTCGCAGTAGTAGTCGTGCAGTCCCTCACCTGCTGTGCGGAGAGAAAATGTACCAATAAAACCCAATTTAAATAAATAATAAATAAATAGCGAGAGCATTTTCTGTTGGGTTTTCTCTCGGCGAAGCAGAAGTGCTGCCCTGCGGGGGGGAGGGGCTGTAGATTGTGAAGCCACGAAGGAGGGGTTGTTGGTGGTTGGTCTGATGGTCCCTCGTGCACGCCATGATGGTGCCACCGACGGACGAACCCACCCACCAGAACTGCAAGCAGGTACCCCACGGCATCAATCAGTATCGCAAATATTAAAAACTAGCATCAAATAAATAATAATAAATAAGTCTGCTGATGAACGAGCGTGCGACCCAAGGAGGACATGTGTGCTTACCCTCTGCGGCAACTGTTGGCCTCAGACCACGCCGGCCCTTCCACCGGCGACATCTTTAGCGGTCTCAAGGTGCCCGCCTGCCTCGTGCCTGGCGTGCTGGCGGTGGGAAGCGCTGAACTCCTGCACCTTCTCTTCTCTCTCTCTCTCTCTCTTTTGTGGTGTTGCGTGTGCGGTGGGCGTGTGCGTCGTTTGCAGAAGGGCGATTTCCTGGCGTCGGTGGACAACAAGACGGTGAACAATGTGATATCGCGGCTGCGGGCAGGCGTGGAGATCAGAACACACACGCGCTATCTACGCACCTATCCCGACTCCTTTGTTGGTGCGCCCCCCCCCCACTACCGCACACACGCACACGCACACATATACGTTCCTGGAACGTACCGCCGCACACATGTAGGAACGTGGCTGCGTTGGCTGATTGCAGTGATCAGGCGGTGAGGCGGTGTCGTGGATGATCGATCACATCTTCACCCAAACGCGCGAGGAGGCGGTCGAGGTGGGCCAGATGCTCCTCAACCACGGCGCCCTACGGCACGCCTCCCTGCAGGGCGCGCCCTTCGCCGACGGGCGGCAGCTCTACCAGTTTCTTGTACGCCACCCTCCCCGCGCGCCCACCACTCCAAACACAGTCGGGCGCGGTGGGAGCCGGTCGCTAACGAAAGAAGACGGGGATTCGACCGCTTGCAGCACCCGGAGGCCTACGCGTCGAACAAGAGTGGGTTCCTGGGACTCAAGCACGACCCGGCACTGCCCTACCGACTACGGTACGCCGAGGGAAGGGAAGCATGTGCGCGGCCGGTGTTGATGTTATTTTGACGTTCTCTAACACTGATGTGACGGGCGCACGTAGGTGGTGCTGTCTCAGGAACAGGTACCTGTACTGGTACGACAAGCCATATAGTTTACAACCCCTCGGCTACGTTTTCCTCAAAGATCTTCTTCTCTCGGTACCCTGCTGTCACACACGGCCACGTCTTCACACCTGCTTGACACTAATGACGACACGACACGACACGACACGACACGACACCACTCAAGATTCCTTTTCCGTCCCTTACGGCTCACCACGCGGCCATCTACACCAACAACCACTGCGAGTTTGAGATGCACATACAATCGAAAGTTTTGACATTTGTACGGCCGCTCTTCCCCATTCACCCTCGGTTGTCGTGTGCGTCGTGTGTGTCATGCGTGCGTGCGTGCGTGCTCACCCTCATCTCACTCCGCCAGGTGGCCAAGGACCAGAAGGAGATGAAGTCGTGGGTCGAGCTGTTCTACCCCTTTACTGTCGACGCCGAAAACGAGGTGCCTCGCTTCCCCCACCCGCACGCCGCACACGCACCGCCGCATCACCGCACACGCGCAGCCTTCTGAGGTGAGCTCACGAGCATCATCACTGGATGGCCCACACACGAACAGAGAATGGAGCAGGCGGAGGATATGCTCAACAAGGCGATGGAAAGGCATTATCTGCCGCACCGCCCATTCGCTGTTCCCACGGTACTCCCACATGGGCGTGACGGTTGTCCACTCACTCCCGACTCACCGCTTCACACACCACACACCACACACCACACACCACACACCACACACCACACACCACACACCACACACCACACACCACACACCACACACCACACACCACACACCACACACCACACACCACACACCACACACACACACACAACATTAGGAACCGCAGCTTGTGAGGAAGGAAGGCGATGACGACGATGACATACGGTTCAACGTGGAGAAAGCGCTGGCCAAGGAGCGCGGGCGGCTGCAGCTCCTGCAGCTGCGGCGCGAAATGCAGCAGGAGCGCAAGGACGCCGAGCGCAGCCGGCGGCGACGCGAACAGCGACTCGAGCTCCAGCAGGCCAGAGAGTTCCGACCGAGACACGGGGAGGCCGAGGGCTCGACCACCGCGACACTGACTACGCGGCCGCTGCAGGCACCCACGAGCGCCGAGGCGGAGGCTGAAGCGGGCGCAGACCAGCGACGTCAGCGACCGCCGCCGCGGGAGCGACAGTGTCCGCCGCACCAGCGCCGACGCAGCTACAGCCTGGAGGAGAGGGAGCACCCGCGGGACCTGCAGGCGCACGACGAGCGGGAGGGCGGGGGGTCCGCCGGACCCGCGTTGCGCGCGTTTCCGTGGCTGATCGACGCGCCCCTGCAGCCGTCGCCGAAGGCCTCCCGGCGAGCCGCGGACAGCGACGCTGCGCAGGAGACGAAGGTCTGGTTCTACAGTTTTGACGGTGAAGAGCAGCACCAGTATCAGCTCACGACGATGATGTATCGGGAGGCGAACGACGACGAGGAGGAAGAGAACGGGCTGGAGCTGACGGCGACGGCGATACGCGAGGCGGCGGTGTCGCGCGAGGCCTCGTCCACGGCGCCAGAATCGGAGGTGGAGGTGGAAAGCGAGAGCGAGTCGTGGCCGCTCGAGGACCCGGCCAAGTGGCTGAAGCGCCGGGTCAAGGGCAAGGAGAAGCTCCTCCTCCTCCACGATGATGAGGAAGACGACGACCAATTGGAGGCACACACCTCGTCCTCCAACCCCACCGCCTAATTTAAATAGACTCTTTTTCTCTACACACCAATAAGTACAGCTTGTTCCGTGATATTCGATTGGCTATTTGTGTTTTGCTGTACGCGACGGACGGAGCCTTAGTCAAAGGCCTGGGACCACCAGCGCAGGGTCGAGGCGGAGGTGATGCCGTTCTCGCTCACCGTGGCGTCGAGTTGCGGCTTGCGCGGCGCCAGGCCGCCCGGGCTGGAGAAGGCGCGGGTGAGGTCGGCTGGCGAGCCGAGGAAGAAGTCGGCGGGGTCATCCGGCACGCGCTCGTCGGTGCCCACGACGGCCACGATCTTCTGGATGAGCTGGGCCAGGGTGTCGGTGGGCAGCACGCCGGCGATGTCCCACGTTTTCATGTCGCGCCACTTGCCCTGCGGCCAAAAGCCCTTCGCCACCTTCAGCGTGAACGCTCCCTCCATTGTAAGTTACTCTCGTCGCAAGGGCAGTGGTTGTGTTTGGTACGTCGGACTGCGCGATAGCCTTTGTTCGTGCCGACCCCGACAACCAAATGGTCAGGAGCGGCGCGCATTCGTCAGCCTCTGCAGCGGATAGGCCCAGCGGAATAGGTGAAGGACAAATAGGACAAAAACGACCAATCAATTACTTACAACACTTCGACGGCATGCTGTGACGATTCGAGCTGCTGCCGCCGAAGCTCTTCCTCCTGTCGCCACCGGGCCCGCTGCTCATCGAACCGGCGGCGCTCCTCCTCGAGCCTGGCCCTCTCTTCCTCGAGCCGGAGCCGCTCCTCCGCGAGCAGGTCGAGCTCCTTCAGCTTGAGCTGCTTCATCTTCTTCTTCCGCTCCTTTTCCTTCTCCTTCTCGAGCTTGGCCGCCTTCTTCTTGTCGGCGGGCTTGATGAGGCTGAGGCTCGTGCCGCCGGTGCCCTTCTTCCCCTTCTTGGCCTCCTTCTCCCTTCGCTTCTTTTCCTCCTTCTCCCTCTTCTTGCTGAGCAGGTAGCTGATGAGCTCGCCCTCGGGGTCGTCCTCTTCTTCCTCGTCGTCGTCATCGTCGTCCTCATCAACGTCGCCCGCCGCGTCGTAGTAGTCTCCGTGCGCGTCATCGTCCACGCGGCTGGCGGCCTCTGCTTTCGCCGCCGCCGCCGCCGCAGCAGCGGCCACGCTGTGACCACCTGACTCTGTGGCTGACGTTATCAGGCTCGCATCCTCACAGAAGCCCTCGACGTCTTCCACAAACAAGTGGGCGTCTAAAGATTGTTTTAATTATAACATAAATATAAATAAGCAAATAAAATACTGGGAGGGCAATGGAGGTGAAGCTGAGAATGGGGGGGGGGTACCAGGGTCGACGGCCTCGGCACCTGCAATCGAGACTGGGCTGGTGCCCTCGGTCCAGGCTGCAGAGTGCTGGTGATGGGGCATCTCGGTGTCTCCTCTTCCTCCTCCATCTGCCGCAGCACTGGGTTGCTGGCTGCAGCCCTTGCAGGGGTAGTAGTGGTGATGGTGCACGTCGTCTTCATCGACGAATTCGAGAAAAATCTGGAAGCAAATGAGGAAGAGCAGGAGGCTCAAGCAGGCCCCCGCTGGCGTCGTGACGTCGACCCCGCATATGCGGTAGCAGCCCATTCGATTTCTTTGTCCACCAACTACGATACTCTCGCCAGCCAGCCTTCTTGAATTGAATCGTTTGCCCAGACTAAAATAAAGTCTGCATTTTGGAAACGGCAATATTCCACACATTCCACGGAGAAGTAAGTTATGAACATTCTTTGCAGCCGGCTGTGTTGGGCACCGTGATGAACAAGAGGGACACCAGCATCCTGGGTGTTCTTTGTAAGGAGCCTTACGGACCCCTGAGCTTGGGTGAGGACTCCATGTCCCCGCTGGTCGTGGGACCTTTGATGGCGACGGTGGGCTCCTGGCTGAGCTGCTTGAGCAGGTTGCTCTGTGGCCACACGAGCAGCGTCTGCTGGATCTTGCCGTTCCAGAAGTCAAACACGCAGACGCAGTCGCGCACCCGCACGAAGCGGCCTGGTGGGAATAGAGGGGTTGGGTCCACAGACCGAGTCACACGCAGAGTGAGCCACGCGTGTAAGTGCATTTTTACTGGGTGTGCGTGCACTTCGGGGAATCACCTGTCGCGGGGAAGCCCTCGTAGTCGCCCGTGTGGGTACCAAAGAACTGGAAGCGCAGAACAACCTTGTTGCCTGGGCAGTACAGGATCAGGTGACAGGGCGCAAAGAGATGAGACGTAGGTAGCAACGAGGAGAAGAGGTGCTAGCTACCTTCTTGGATAATGTCATCCACGATGAACGAATAGTCGAGGAAGGAAGTGAGCATGTGCGAGTTGTAGTCCTTCAGTCCGTCATGGCCCACCAGCGGGCGGGCCAAGTGCGAGGAGGTCTGCGCGCAGGCAGAGTATAGAAGTGTTCAACACTTCACCACCAAATCGATCGAGAAAATGGCCAAGAGGGAGGAGAGTACCAAGACGTGGGAGGAGCTGACGAATTGGTCGACGTTGGCGAAGTCGTTGCCGGCCCACACCTCAAAGAGCATGCGCAGGGCCTTGTCCTTCAGCTCCTTGCCCGTCACTGACAGCCGCTTCCCTTCGTCTGCTTGCGGACCAGCGGGCAGGCGAAGCACTTTCAGAAACCACCCTCACGCCTCCACGCCCCCCCCCCAACCAAAAGGTAGAAGGCGACAGGGGGCAGTACCGGGATCGGGGCCATTGGTCGTGCAGTACCTCCCGTCCGTGGTGCACTTGAAGCGTGGGTCGTACCCGGTCTGGTCGTTCACCTCGGCACAGTCGCCTGCAGAATAGACGGACGAAGAGACACGCAGGAAGAGAAGAGGAGGCGATGAGCCGCAAAACAGAAAGGTGGTTTGGGGGGGGGGGAGAAGGGCGACCTTTGCTGTTGCATGAAAAGGTGGCCCTGGCATGGGGCAGCAAGGCGAGCACCGCCACCACGAGGCCGAGCAGCATGCGCTTCTCCATCCTGGGGATCTTTGAGCTCTCTCTTGGTGTTCTGTTGTGTGTTTTGTGCTCTGTTGGGTGTTGTTGTGTGCGTTGCAGAAGAAGCAGGCGGGTGGCTTCACCTCGCCTCCCCTCGAGCCACGTCATTGTCGACACATTTTAGCAAAGAAGGGAGGCGCTCGAAGGAGCGAGCACGACTGTTGCAGCAACACGAAAGGTGGACTTTAATGGTTGCGCGACGCTAATGACGACACACACACACGTGGGCTTAGAAGGCCTTCTTGCACTCGTGGGGGACCTCGAACCACGACTGGTGGGGCTTGTTGGTCCTCCACTGCTCGACGTAGAAGTGGAACTGGGCGCGAGAGAAAGAACGAAAGATGTGAGTGAGATGATCAGTGCTCGTGCTAGTGGTGTAAATATAAAGATATTCTGCTGTGTGTGTACCTCCTCGCGCACGGAAGTGCGGCTGAAGTAGACCAGCTCGGTGGGGTTCTTCTGGGGCACGCCAGCCTCGAGGGTGACGCCTGCACGACGATGTTCGACCATTGGTGAGCCAAACTTTCCCTGATCGAAGCGGCATTGACGAGGGAGGCTGGATGCGTACCAGCGGTCTTGTACTGCCACAGGTCGAAGAGGACGCCGTTCCTGGTGAGGTTGCCCACAACCTCAGCCTTGTCGAGCCACTCCCAGGGGGAACGGATCTTGTCGGTCAGGTCCTTCTCCTCGCACTTCCTGGCGTCAGCGGAGGAGATGAAATAGTTCTTCTTCTGCACGTTGCCACAATATTGTTGGCGAGGAGGCCGGTGAGTTTCGCGTGTTCACAAAAGAACGAAAAAGAAGGAAAGACGTTGTCGCTTTCTTTCCATTTCCTTTACGGGGGGGGGGTGGAAAGACGTACGAGGTCGAACCTGGCGAGGTCGTAGACGCCGAGGTGCTCGAAGCCACCGAAGTGAGCCCAGTCGAGCGACTTGCCGGCCTCCAAATCAAAGATCCACCTACCTGTAGTCCGCAGCGTGAGCGTCAGCCGCAAAATCAAGTTATGATGAAAAGAAAAGGGGAAAAGGATTGCAGTCAAAGGGAGAAGGAGAAGGCGGCAGCGTGTACCCTCGCCGAAGACGACGGAGTGGTTGTGCTTGATCTGGACAATGCCGTGGGTCTCGAAGGTGGTGGCGAGCTTGGGCCTGGTCTGGGCGAGGGCGCAGGCCACGGTGAGGGCCAGGATGGCGAAGAAGAGAAGAGCACGCTGCATTGTTGTTGTGACAAGGTGGTACTGCCGAACGACCTCTCTTGGTTTTATGGCCCTCGACACTGAAAAGTTGGGTGACCTTCTTCTCCGGCCTATCAGCTGGCCCCTCATAACAATCACAACTGCGCCCTCATAGGTCAGCAATTGCTGACTAACACGAAAGCCCCGCCACTCCTGGCCCTAAACGAAGCAAAGGCCGTTGTCCCACACAGAGAAGATAGATTTCTTTTCTTTTACCAAAGAGAAAATCAAAAATCAAAATTCAAATTTATACACAATAAAGATGGCAGCGCAACCACAGGTGGGGGCGGCCTACCGGCAGGTGAGCAGGAAGGAGGCGGGCATGCGCTTCCTGCTCATGCAAATGGCCAACGCGGCCACGCGCCAGGTCTCCGATCCCGACCGCGGCCTCGAGCTGCTGGGCACGGCGCTCACCTCCCTCCACACCGTCCTCACCACCCTTCGCTCCTCCCCTCCGGTTGAGGGTGCTGGGAGTGCAGCCACGGTGGAGGCGTCGGCGGCTGCGAAGGCTGACCTCCTTCGGCTCAGTCCGGCGGTGCAGGAAGCCTACGGCCTGCTGGCCCTCCCCGTCCCTGCCGCCGTCAAGTACTTGACCCGCCCAACCAACACCTGTCATCCTTTGTTCTTGCTCACCCCCCCCCAAACTTGATATAAGGTTTCTCGAAGCGGTGCACTATGAAAAGACGCCGGCGGGCGACCTGGTGCTGGCCAACCCCGAGCGTGATGAAGTGCAGAGCGCTGTAGAAGGTAAACGCTGCTCTCGCGCGCATACGCCGTGAGCGAACCACATCATGGCCTCATCGTAGATCTCGGGCGGCACAGGGGGCTTGAACGCGCTGGAGTGGTTCGAGCGACAGAACAGAGGCGGTCCCGAATCTGATGCCGATCAAGAAGAACAGGGCCAGTTCACCCTGGGCCACAACCCTCTCATGATGATGGGCGGCGGCCAGGCGCTTCTGTGCTGCCCGCCACACCAACGCACCTCCGCTCCGGGAGGCAAGCCGAGCTGATCTCGATGATCAAGTGAAGAGCTTCGTTCGCCTTCTTCGTTTTCTTCTCCGTGCTTGGCCTGCCTCTGGGGTGTCGGCGTGGAAAACTCGCAACCACCGCCGTCGCCATACCACCACCAGTCGAAGTCTGAGCTCGCGGCTCACATCCTCTTCTGCCGTTTCTCATTCTCCCTCTCTAGCGCTCTCTACGTCGCTCCCTCTTTCTCTCATCTGCTCAGAGAAGAGAAAGGATGCATCCAAGCAATCATCAGTTCCGAGTTGATGACATTCGAACTGATGGAGCTGGATGGCAAGATGAGGGACAGGCCCAGCCCCGGCCCACGAGCTTTGAGAACGTGCACAACCGATTTGCGTCGAACGGACGCCCCCATCTCTCCATCCAATCTCCCCTGCTGGTGATCCAAGACGACAAATGGAAGGGGCATGATGAGGAGAAGGCCGACCTTCTTGGACTTGGCCAAAAGCGGGGGTGCTTCCTTTTCGCGTGCTTGCCCTATGTCCCTCGCCGCTATGTTCTCGCCATCCTCGGGTTCCTTGGCTTCATCAACGTTTACGGTGCTCCCCCCTCTTTCCCCGTTTCCTCCTTCCTTTACAGTTACTCTGTCTTTTTCGTCTGCAGTCTTGTCGCACGTTTGCTGATGGCATCGTCTTGCTCCTCTATCTACAGCGCTGAGAGCGATTCTAAGTGTGGCGGTGGTGAACATGGAGAAGGAGTTCAATTACTCTGGGTCGGAGAAGGGTCTCCTCCTTGCGTCGTTCTTCATCGGCTACATCTTTCCTCAGGTTCAGCGTTGCTCTCTTTCACCATCGCGCTGCTCGCGATCGTGACATAGACCTCATCAACCTCTCGATGATGCGTTTCATGTCCCAGGTGCCTGCTGGCTGGCTGGCGTCGAGGCTGGGTGCCAAGTGGGTGCTGGGGGGCGGCATGTTCATCTCCGGCATTTTCACTCTCTTGTTGCCGATTGCTGCCGAGGTGCTGCCCCTTGTCTCGTGTTGCCGTGAACGTGTCAGTGTCTCTATCTCTGCGCTCGCCATCCACTAACCGACGTGTACGCAGATCCACCTTGGGCTGGCCGTTGCCACGAGAATAGTCGTGGGCCTGGGCGAGGGCGTGTGCTTCCCCTCGATGCACGCCATGCTTTCCAAATGGGCGCCACCTCATGAACGCTCTCGCATCGGCTCCCTTGTCTACTCTGGCTGCTACTTGGGTATACTCCGTTTCGCTCCCTTCTGCGCTCCCTTCGACTTTGCTTGAGGCTCAACTCTCTTGTTCGTCTGGTGGGCTGCAGGGACCGTGATCGCGTTCCCCGCGAGCACGGCATTGGCCGACAGTGCGCTCGGCTGGGCCAGCATCTTCTACGTCTTTGGTGGTGCGACCATTGCGTGGGTCCTTCTGTGGCTCGTGGTCGTGTCCAGCTCTCCCGCTGATCACCCCAGCATCTCGGCCGAGGTCCGCTGCCCTCTCTCCGAGACCCCCCCCCCACGTTGCGCTTTTGTGCTGACTTGCGCCCCGCGACCTATAGGAGCGGAAGTACATCATCGACAGTCTGCCGCCGCCGAGCAGTCTCTCGTTCAGAGACATCCCCTGGATGAAGGTGGCCCTGTGCCTGCCCTTCTGGGCGCTGCTCATCAACCACACCGCCGGCAACTGGGTACCGCGCGGCTTGTCGAAACTGCAGCTTCACAGGCGGCTGACTGACCTTACCTGGTTCGTCGCGCAGGCGTTCTACACGCTGCTCACATGGCTCCCGACCTACATGAAAGAAGTGCTCGACTTTGACGTGCACAAGGCGGGTTTCATTGCCGTGCTGCCCTACCTCGCCCTGACCGTCGTGGTCATCGTCTCCGGTTTTGTTGCCGATCTCTTCATCGGTGCTTGCCTAACCCCATTCCACCACCGCTTGCCGCTTGCTCACCTTTCCTCCGTGTGCTTCTTCAGAGCGCAAGTGGCTGAGCACTACCGCAGTCAGAAAGATCTGGCAGGCGCTGGGATTCACCATCGCAGGTACGCCGCACTCACCAGACAATCCGAGCTACTTCCCATTCCCCCATTCATTGCGTGGCATGGCTGGCTTACCCCTCTTGCTGCTCGCAGGCGGCGGATTGGTAGCGGTCGGGTTTGCAAATTCGGTGCCGCTGGCAGTGGCGCTGATGACGATCGCCGGCGGTGCCGTGGGATTCACCAACTCGGGCTTCCAAGTGAATCACCTTGACATCGCGCCCAACTACGCGGGCATCCTGATGGGCATGACCAACTGCGGTAAGATCACACTCGCCCACTTCTGGTACACTTTGAAAGTCTTTGACAGTCTTTCTGCGCACTGATGCTGCCCCTGCTCCTTTTTTTCGCACGCAGTGGCGACGATACCGGGTATTGTGAGTCCCTATCTGACAGGTATCATCCTGGGAGATGACCAGCATGACATCGAACGATGGCGCATCGTCTTCTTCATCTCCGCCGGGGTCTACTCCTTTGGTCTCGTCATCTGGCTCTTGTTTGCCTCGGGCAAGAAGCAATTCTAATTTATTTATTTTTAAATATATATTTATGCCTTCCGCGAATGGGTCAAGCAAGACAAAGATGGAACAGACAGGTGAAGGCACCGGTGTGGCGGAGGTGAGCAGGACGGAGGCCGGCATGCGGGTGCTGCTCATGCAGCTGGCCGAGGCGGCAGCGCTGGAGCGCAGTGCCGAGCGGGGGCGGGAGCTGCTGGCCACCGTCGTGCACGCCCTGAGGACCATCCTCATCGCCCTGCGGAAGGAGGAGTGCTCTGACGAAGGTGCCGAGGGGCTGCTCAAGTCGCGACGAGCCCCCTTCCTCCGTCTGGACTCGTCTGCTCAGGAGGTGGCCGACCTGCTGGCCCTCCGCATCGCGACCCCACTCAGGCATTCCCCCCCCCCCGGTCTCCCAGACGGAGCCTGCAATGAGCGCGCTGGGTTGGGCTGACCTGGGGACGACCGCAGGTTTCTGGAGTATGTCGGATACGAAGACACGGCCGATGGGCTGGTGCTGAGCGACCCAGACGCCGCGGCCGACGGCATTGAGAGTACGTACGCCGGAAAGGTGACGAACACACGACCACCAAATTCATCGCTGACGTCGCTTTTCTCTCTGTCTCTCTCTCTTGCGTGCCTGATGAAGGTGGTCTGAAGGCGCTCGAGTGGTTCGAGCAGCAAACACAGGGCAAGAGCGACCAGGCGCTGTTGACCGCCAGCCAGAGTGGCCACAAGCAGTCGTCCAAACCCAGCGTACCGGTGACCTGCTGCCTCCTGTGGAAACACAGCAACTCGACACTAACTCAACAATACACTAAACTGATCGCGTGCATGGCATCGTGCTGGTTCGAATGCAGGCCATGACTGACATACTCGACGCCCGTATCGGCGACCTCCTCATCAGTCAACATGAAGGCGCACCCGAGGAAGGTAATCGCGTCGCCGTTGTGCAAGGGAGAGCGTGGTGGCTGGGTGGTGGAACGAGGCACTGATCAGGCGATTACCAACCAGATCGCTGCGTCGGAGCTATGCTTGGCTGCATGATGGGCGATGCGCTGGGAGCCGGCGTTGAGGGATACACGTACGAGATGATTCGAGAGATGTTCGTCAAAACAGACGGCCGGTACGTGTGTTGCATTGTCGACGTTCACGTTTTACCCGCTGCATTGCGGGAGTATGCACCTAATGTCGTTCTTCGTGGCCCCAGGGCGCTGAGTTACATCAATGCCACGCACATGGGCGTGCGTAAGCTCGGCATGCGCTATGGAATGTACACCGACGACACCCAAACGGCTCTCGCCTTGGCCACCTCCCTCGTCGAAAACCAAGCGCTCGACCCTGGTCACGCAGGTTTGGCAGCCTGATGGCACCATCGTCTTTGCTATGATGCTTGGCAACGCCTTGCCCCTCACTCCGTTTCTCTTGTTGTTGTTTCTCGCCAGCGCTCCGTTACTACCAGTTCTTCTGCACGCCGCCGCAGAGGGGCTACCCGCCAACTGCTCAGGCCGTGTTGAAGGCCATCGGCCAGGACGTACGTTTTGCCACGCACGCACGCACAAGCTGCGACTGACATATGTTGATACAGGGTGCGGACTACCGCAAGACCGGCACGATCGCGTTCCCTGACGGTTCGTACGCCAACGGAGGTGCGATGAGGATAGCCCCGGTCGGCCTGGCCTTCAGGAACGCTTCGCCGGCCGAGCTGAGGGAAGCGGTGCGGTGGGCCATCGTCTCGTCCCACGTCCACGCCCAGGCGATCGACGGCGCCTACCTCCAGGCGCTATCAGTGGCGATGTGCACCCATATGTCCGCCGAGCAGCGAGACAGCTTCGATCCTCGGGAGTACCTGGAGACCATGAGAAAGGCGGCCGCCACTCTGCCCATGAAGAAGCGCATCAAGGCGCTCGTGCTCAAGTGCGTCTACACTCCAAGTTGCCAGTCCTTGCGTACTCACCTCGGCGATCACCGTCTCCAACAGGCTTGATAACGTGCTTGCGGGGAAGGAGGTGCACGACATGGTTGATGTGTTCGACGAAATCGTGGAGGACGACTTCCAGATCAAGGCCGTGGACGCCATGGCCGTAGTGCTGTGGGCCGGTACGCTACGGGCGCGACCAACGACCGCCACCTTTGCTACTCTCCAGATCTCAGAGAAGTGTCTCACTGACCCCTTCCTGTCGCGGCAGTGGCGCGCTATTGGCGGGACCCGGCTGATTGCATCATCCGAACGGTAGGCTTCGGCGGGGACACCGACACAACCGCTGCCATGGTGCGTTCTCCTCCCTTCTCCTGCGCGCTGTGTTGGTGTTGTTCGCCGGCTGAGCCGGCTGGTGACCAGGTCGGGGCGATCATGGGCGCCATGCATGGGACGAGCTGGATGCCCAAGCACTGGTACGACAACCTGGAGAATGGCGACTACGGCCGCGACTACTGCATACGCATTGCAAGGTACCTGCACGCACAACACAATTTGCACAAGACCCAAACCTGACGCCAGCGGATGCGCGGACACTACTACAGGGGACTGGCGGCGTTGGATCTGCATCAGGTGAAGGGCCAAGGCGAGCACGCCGTGGAATGGGTCTGATAGAAAGTTGGCGAATAGCGATTGTTCTCGGAGCGCACTTCTTGAAACCGACTTGTTTTGGGCACACCAGAACCACAACCACAGGTGAGAGCACGACTTACCTTGGCTGCACCTCGCTTCCACCACCCCTCCACCATCCCCTCCGGACCGTCCACCTCCACCTGCTCAAAGAAAGCACACGTGTATTCACCTTTTTCCAAGCAGACCTCAGTCAACGTAAAGCTCCTGCCGTGGATGCGGGGCGATACCATTGCAAGCATCTGTTCTCGCATGCAAAAGATGAAAGATTAGGGAGGCGCGGCAAGGTGGAGGTCAGAGCGAAACAAAATACCTTGGTGGGGTTGAAATTGAGAGTTTACGATGCGAGCGCCACATTTCGGGCAATCGCGGCAGCAGGGCATGATATGCCTGATGCTGGCGTTCGTGTGGCACGGGCAGGTGCAGAAGTCAGTCGGAGGTGTGGAAGACATGGCTGCCAGAAGAGAGGATGCACGAGCTCTGTGGGTGTACCTGAGTTTTTGCTGGTACGAAACACGTCTCGAAACCATTTCAGAACTTGTTTCAACAACCCGAGCGAAACTTGGTAGACAGCCAGACGACCATCAACCTACTACCACACGTGAGAGTGGCGCCTCGATGAACAGCGAGTGCCGTTGCGGGTAGAGCACAACCGCCCTCTTCTTCTTCTTCACAACGAACCAGCAACAGTGATGGCAACGAGAGGCAGAGGTAACCTCCTCTGACAACACAATCGACATTCACCACTGTGCTTACTCTTCTCTTGCTAGGCGGCATTGATCAAATGGACCTGGGCGGCGACGTTGACTACCATGAACTGGAGCGCAGGCAGGGTACATGCTACACGTTGGCTGGTCACCGCTGCTCTTCGCCCACCCTAAAAACTCAGGTGAGATGGCAACCGCCAGAGGCTATGGCAAGCCTGAGGTCGGAATAGCGCACAGGACCGACATCTCCTACGACAAGGACAGCAGTGTCTTCAGGGAATGGAAAGATCAGTCCCTGTGGGCTGGCCTTCCCGACGTGGACAAGTACGCACTCCCTCCTTTGTGCCCCTAATATGCCCAGTGCTCATCCACATGTTCATGTCACACTGCCAGGGTCTACTACAACCCCAACATCGACGACCATACCTTATGGCGTCCTCGCTGCGACATCTTCGAAGAGGAGCAGGGCAGGCTGCGCGTGGAGTTCGAACTGCCAGGCGTTCCGAGGTTACAGCTTCTGCTTGCCGCCAATCATGGGTTCGAGGTGTGTCTAACGATGCGGGTTACAGGGAGGACATACACCTGTCGATCAAGGACAACCTGCTCACGCTCAGCGCCCTGAAGCCGCAAACGAGGAGGGAGGAGGGAGGGTTCTACCATCAGACGGAGAGGCACTTCGGCCGCTTCTACCGTCGCATTCTCCTGCCGTACAACGTGGATGCGGACAACGTCAAAGCTCACATGGATGGCGGTGTGCTCAAGGTAACTCCACGAGGCTTACGGCTTACCTGTCGGCGAGCTAGTTGCTTACTTGTTGTTCACGCGACCTTCAGGTCCATCTCTACATTCGCGGCAGAGTGAGAATCGAAGAGGAGGGCTATCCGGCGCTGCAGACTGGTAACTCTTCCCGATGTATATCTCCTTAGGAGGGGTGTATGCTGACCTTTGCCCGATCGTGGACAGACGCCGACACCACTGCAGGCGCCCAAACGTGAAAGGCTGGCGCAGAGGGCACGCAGCAGGTTCTCGGTTATTTCTGCCCTTGCGGCAGAAAATCAAAATAAAATCCATTTGGGTTCATTTTTTTTCATCTTGCACACATCGACAACAATGGAGGGCAAGGACGCCGAAGTAGAGCAGATTGCAGGTCCGTTGGTTACCCTCTTCGTAAAGCTTAATTATCTGACAATAATGCATCTTGAAACGTTTCATTCGATTACAGAGGAGACGGAAGCCGAGATTCCCGAGGAGATCCCTGCCATGAAGGCCAAAGAAGTCCTTTACTGTGGTGGTACGTAGTGCCCGATTGCAATGCACAGTCAGCATTTCCAAATCTTGATGTACACCATCTCATCCGTGTGTGAATTAGTCTGTGGCCTGCCTGCCGAGTACTGCGAATTCGGACCTGACTTTAATCGATGCAAGCCGTGGCTGATCGAGCACTGCCCCGAGATCTACCCTTCGCTGATCAAGAAGGAAGGCGAGGAAGGCGAGGAGAAGGGTATGCCACCGCCACCAGCACTTGTGGAGGACAGTCGCTACTCCTGGCTGTGACTTCTCAGAGAAGTCTCATCATCGTGTTTGCACATCAACAGAAGGAGAAGGGGAAGAGGAAGAGAAGAAGAAGTCCAAGCGTGGCGGCAAGGGAGTGGTGAAGGCCGACAAGGGACCCCAGAAGGTGCGCCCTTACAGTCTGGCGAGTGCTTTGCTCTGGCCGGAATGCCTTCCTCACGTCGTCCTTGGCTTCCGTCACTCCACCACTAGGGAGGCAAGGACGCCGAGTTGACCATCACCACGAGCCAGAAGAAGGGCAAGAAGATCGTCACCACGGTCTCTGGCCTCAAGGGATACGGTCAGACTCATCCCTCTCACATTTGCTGCCTATGTGTTTTTTCGCCTTATTCTCACTGCCTTCTTTCTCCTCGCTCTGGGTCGTGCAGGCGTCAACCTCAAGGACGCAGCGAGTGTGTTCAAGAAGAAGTTTGCGTCGGGCGCGTCAGTCACGAAGGAGGGTGACGTGGACATTCAGGTACAAGCTGTTCAACCACGCTTGTCCTTAGAGGACGCGGTTAGTTAGGGATGATTGCTGATCTTTATGCGCTGCAGGGTGATCTGAGCCGCGAAGTCAAACAGCTTATCGTGGAGAATGCCGAGTGGAACGTGCGTCGCCCCGTTCTTGCGCTCCACACACACGCATGCTAACCTCACCATCCTCTTCGTTTGTGTGTAGATCCCGCGAAAGTCGATCAAGATCGTGGAGTCCACCAAGAAGCGACACTGAGCGCCACCTCTTCACACTAAAGAGAGAGAGAGAGAGAGCCACCGCAAATGTGGTGTCCGTTGCTCGTGGTGTGATGCAGCGTACCCAATAAACACCTGCAACGTTGGGCACCAACACGTTGGAATGCGAGGCACGCAGCAAACGCAACTCGCGAAAGGCCCTTTCTCGACTTGCGAAAGGCGTCGCAACACAACAGGGCACATGAAAGACACGGCTGCCAGCAAGTCGGGCAATGGCCTGTGGCAGGCCCTCAGTCACAGCGCCCTCTTTTGGTGCAGATTAATCTCTACACAAAATCTAACAATGCAGGACATTTGCAATTCAACAAACTAGGGACTGACTTCACACCGGGGGGGGGGAACGGGGCAGGGTGTTCACATGGATAGCACTTAACATAGCGCTCACCATCCTCAACAAGAGCGTCTTCCAGTTTGTTAACTTTCAATACCCACTCATCCTCTCTGCTTCACACATGCTGTGTACAGCCTCCTCCGCCCCTTGCATACACTGGTCTCATGCTTGGCCCACCACTTGCGCTCACCCATACCACCTTGATACCTTTACACTGTGGCTGTCGTCTAGGCACCTATGTGTTCTGTATCCTCATCTTCCACGTCTTCAAGTGGCTGCCGGTGGACACCACCATCCTGCCCTCCACCATTCGGAAGATCCAGATGCTCTCGCTTCTGTTCACCCTCAACATATGCGCCGGCAACGCGAGCCTCATGTATACGACCGTCAGCCTACGCGAGGTCCTTGCCCGCTCTGGGTGACGACCAGCACGGCAGTAGCTAACTTTGACCCGTGGGGAATGTCGAGTGCAGGTGGTTCGCTCGCTCACTCCCGGCATCACGCTCGCCTTTTCCGTGTGGTTGCTGAAGAAAAGCGCCACCAAGGAGGCCATCGGGTACGCGGGTCACCCGTGCTTTCTCGTTCTGTTTCATCTGCAGCTCACCCAGGCCCAATGTTGGTGCTTGTGCTCGCAGGTCGTTAGCCGTCATTGCCGGTGGTGTAATCCTCACAACCATAACCGAGCTTGACTTTCACGTGGTACTGGCCCATGACTCTACCAGTGGATTGGTGGGCATTTGTTCAGCTGATTTTCATGTCTTGTACAGGGTGGCTTCATCATCCTTATTATCGGATGTGTACTGGCTTCGCTTAAGGGAGTCATGACGAACATGGTTCTCGTCGGAACGGGAGCCGTCCATCCTCTCTATGTGCTCTATTTGGTACCCGACACCCTTTCCGCTGCATGGGCGCGTGTTTCTCTTGTGGCTGACCGGCGCGTTTAGATGTCGCCTTTGGCGCTGGTCCAAATGCTCGCGATGGCGGCCATGTTCGGTGAGGTTACGGGTCTCATGAACGCGTGGGACTCCCTACCGATCAACCTGTGCGCTGCTATGATTCTTGGCACTGCTGTTATGGTGCGGCTCCTTGCCCACCATGGTATCGCGTGCACTCTAACCGTTGGTTGCGAGTAGGCTTTCTTCCTCAACGTCGCCAACTTCAACCTGAACAAGATCACCTCCCCTGTGACTGTGTCCGTCGCTGGTTCCTTCAAGGTAAGTCTTTCCGCACCTGTCGTTGGGGTTTGGAGGTGCTAACCACAGTCCTCATTGCCTCCTACAGGAAACGCTCACCATCGGCCTCGCGTTTGTGGTGTTCAAGAACAAGGCCACACCATTGAACCTTTTCGGTACCTTCTTCCTGCCTCACCAAAAAAAGCGTAGTGCTCACGTCCCTTGCTCATCTTTTTCCCCTTGTAGGCATCTTTATTGCGCTCACCGGTACGGGTATGTACCACTACTTGGCCCATGGCCGAAAACACGAGGTAGAGTCAAAGAAGGACGACGAACAGAAGAGCACCGACGGTACTCTCTCTCTCTCTCTCTGCTGGCGATGGTCTTGCGTGACTTTGCTCATGGCCGACGAGCCGTTCCAAACAGACTCTTGGAGCGCGGTTACGGTCGACCGCCCAAGCATCAACAACGAGCGTGGTCCACAGGAAGAGCTTCTTGATGACAACCGAAAGGGAAGAGCCTGAGTCATCCGAAGGCCAACACCGCAGTGTCTGTTCGTTCAGATTGAATGAACCGCAGTTGCTTGCACACGCTTATTAGTTGTCGACAGCAGGCCACTTCGGACATTGACGTCTGGGTCGGGCAGATCCTGCCTAGATTCCGCCCATGCTTCAGCTTCCAGCAAGGCGGGTCACCTGCACCTTGCGCCTCGGCAGACTGGCCGGGCTGTGGGCGGCTTCGTCTTTTCTGCACCGATCCCAAGGTACAAGATGACAACGCTGCCTGCGGTGCCCATCGGCACGAAATGGCCTTTTCCAGGAGACCGGGAGAAGGAGGAGATCACTCGTATCATGAGCCGGCAAGGTACATCAGCCCTCCTCTCGGATCGGGAGCCAGCTGGGAGAACCGCCTAAGAAGGTGGGCTGGCGCAGACGAAGAAAGAGAGCTGCACGAGAGGCGGGCCTTCCTGGACTGGAAGGACATCCCCCGCTGGTCTCACTTGCGCGACGTGGATCGGGTCTACCTTGACCCATACATCAACGACCGGTACGCCCCACAACGGCCGTTTCTTCCAACCGGTGGCTCAACACCGCCTCAGCCCTCTTTGGATGCCGAGGGTGGACGTATTCGAAGAGGACTCTGGCCACATGAGGCTCGAGGTAGAGCTGCCTGGGGTCCCCAAGTACGTTCGCCACTGCTAGTCGTGTGGTGCCTGTGTTAACACTATCCACATTTTCGCACGGGCAGGGATGATATCAACGTGATCGTCGACCGCAGCGAGGTCACGATCTGTGCCCTTAAGCCGCACACCCGCAAAGAGGCTCGCGATGGGCACCTCCTGCGCGAACGGCACTTCGGTCGGTTCTTCCGCCGTCTCCGATTGCCCTACCTGTACCACCTCCCCACCATCCGATACATTGCGATCAGGGTTAAGAATCCGTGGTTGATCATGTGAGTGCAGGATCGACGTTGCAGGCGTCAAAGCGCACCTCACGAACGGCCTGCTGCACGTGCATCTGCCTCTCGTCTCAAGGCCAGCCGCCACGATCACCATTCAAGAGGAGGCCAGACCCTGAACTGGGCTCTAGAAACAGGATTTTTCCCACATTTCAGGGAACAGGCAGGTCGCTGAAAGATGAGCGCATTGATGCTCGCGATGGACACGCATCAAGAATAGATAAAAACACAGGCAAAGGACTCTTCCGAAGCAAGAAGATAAAACTTTACCAAGGGCAGGCACAACCCACATGAACAGGGTCTACTATTGCCTCCCCTTCACGTTTGCCTTTTGGTGTAGCTGCTCATGCAGTCGTGGCCACAGGCAGAGGGGTTGTGGGACCGGCTGGGGTCAGCATGCTGTGGGTTTCAGCGAACGCTCATGGGCGCCTCTAAGTCTAATGCCCTGCCGTCAAGACCCTCACACTACCCGGACTTCGACGAACTAGAACTGTACACCCTCCTTGGCTGTGACGCTCGCGCAAGCTGAAGTGTACGCTCTTTCTGACCGGCTCGTGCTTAGGTGCTGCGCAGAGCTCAAGAGCGTCACCACTGTGAGCTACAGAGAAGCCTTCAGCAGGTGTGTCTCAATCGCATGCACGCGTTTCCTTAGTTGTCATTGCCCAGCTCTATGGGGACTGAGTCCATGCACTCACTGCGCGTCACGCTTCTCTCTGCCTTGCATTGCACTGCGCAGATACGAGGGATACTTGCGCTCGTTCGCTCGTGACTACCTGGGTTTGTGGTCCTCGTCCCTTGCCTTCTTGAACTTGAATAGCTTACAGTGCATGCGCACGAACACACAGAACCGCAACTGGAAAGTGTGGGCTTGTGCACCTACCTTGCGGCACTTGTCAAGTGCTGGGAGCAGTTCTCCATCTACACGAAGTCGGTCATCATGCTCATGCAGCAGCTGCATTACTCAGACCGCTACGGACCCATGGCAAAGCAGGTCTTCATGAAGCTGTTCCTTCAGAGCGATCGCCTGGCTCGGGTACGCAGTCTGACCGTCTGCTCATGCAGGCCACGTCCTCATATTGACAATGGCATCACACAGGAACTGCAACGCGTACTGCAAGAGGGACGCTTCCTCGATGACGAAGAGACCAACCACCACATCGTGAGCACGCTTGTGGTACTGAACTGTTCTTTCTCTCGGTCAAGTCTCCTGTTTGCTGACGCAACAATGCTGGCCGGGGAACGACAGCTGTTATCTGAGATTGGCTACAACAACGAGCTGTTCGTCAAGTACTTTGAAACCCCGCTGATCGAGCGATGCGCGGCAGACGCCCGCCTCCGCCTCCAGACCTCATCGGTGACCAATTACTTGGCTTACGTACGCACTACTACCCGTGTCTCGTGACTACCACGAGGTGATGAATCAAGTAACATGTCTCGTCTCCCCAATCTGTACTGTAGGTGGACTCGTTATTCCATCGCTTTGCCTTGTCAGCTTTCTTTGACTCGACGAAGGCCAAGTTCTTGCATACCCTGCAGCAGCGGTGCGCATTTGTTGCTCTCCACTTGTTTGATTGAGGCACGATCAGCTGACCTCCACAACCTGCCAGCTATGTGTACGATGTACAGGAATACGTGCAAGAAAAGGTGGAATCCGAGTGGGAATCGCTCTTTTCAAGCGGCAACAGGCAAGGTGTTTCTTTCCCATGTCCTTGCAAACGCCTCATCATTCATAGCCTCATCATCTCAATCGCATGCACACAGCTCTATCCCCGTTGCTTAGCAACATTCGGACGCGGTCCACTACGTCTGTGTATCAAGTCCTCTGTAAGCTCTTCAGGAACAGCGTTCGCAGAAAGGTTCGCGTGACTCTCTTTCTCCTCTGTGCTGCATTTTCCAGCTCCCCAGAGCTGAGACCGGTTTGCGCTCTGTGGCTGCAGATTGAAGACGTGGTGGCCATGCTGAAGGGGAAGCAGCTGGGGAGTTTGGACACTCTCAGCGTTGTGAATTCCATGATAGATGCCTACCGCTACTGCCACGGCATGACTTCGAACACGGAAGACGCCGGTCTGATATCGGCACTTCAGCAGGGCACGGCTGAGGCGCTCACGGTGGAGTGGAGCCTTCCCAAAGAAGAGCAACAGGGCCGAGGACGTCTCGTGGAGGAGTATCTGGCCCACTTCTGCCACAGACTTCTCTCCAAGCAGTCGGACAAGGTGCGTCCCTCTCCCAAGCCAGAAAGTCGCTTTGAGCTCACATGTGCAGCACAACGGGTTCAGCTCTTCCAAGCGGATCTAGTCGAGGAGATTGTCGATGGCGTGACGGACCTCTACCGCCACTGCGCCAACAAGGACATTTTCGTAGCGCTCTACCAGCGACACTTGATCAAGCGGCTGCTCTTGTACACTTCACACACCACACACACCACACACCTCTTTTGCTCGTGACTCACAAGTCAACGTGTTTCCCCACGAGCAGGGAGGGGTCATCAGCAACCGAAGACCGGGAGTTGGCGATGCTGTCGCGTCTCAAAACAGGTAAAATCACGCAACTAGAACTGGCTCGCAAGCACATGGGGAGACTCACTGCCCGTAATGTATCGATACAGCCACGGTTCGCACCATTGGCGATCTGTCCGGACTCCATCGTTGCGACATGGCCGTGCGAGAGGTGTACCAATCGGCCGAACTCAGCGCTCGGTTCAAGGCATCGCCGTTCGCTCAAGGCCTGAGCACGGACATCAACGTCAAGGTACACGAGTAGCCATCCTCAGCCAAGGGAGCTTTTTTGAGCTCACTAACCGCCATCACCACCGACCCGACCTAGGTCATATCAAGCTTCCTGTTCCCCTACCAGTTCAAACCTGTCGCGCTTCCTGTCGAGGTATCCCTGACTTCTTCTTGCCCCTAACGGACCCTCATGTCAACTTACCCTCCTTACCAGTTTTTGCACGCGCAAGAGAGATACACGCAGTTCTACACAGACTTGACGGCCAAATCTAAGAAGCTGTTCTGGATACCGGCTCTCTCGTCTGCAGTCGTCTCGGCTTCGTTCACAGTACGCCCGGCCTTCGCTCCTATTGTGTCCCAACTTTATCGGCGAGCACTCATGTGGTGTTGGACCAAGCAGAAGGGGAAGAAGGAGTTCCGTGTATCACTGCATCAGGCGTCCATATTGTTCTTGTTCAACGACAGTTCGGCGCTCACCCTCAATGATATCCTGCGACACACCAAGATGGGTGCGTACTTGAAGCCGTTCCATTCTGGATCTCGCCGAGATCACTAACTCGACTTCTCCTGTCCCACGGTCATTGTGCGCAGACAAAGAAGAGTGCGCGCTTCTTGTCAAGCAATTGGTAAAAATCAAGCTGATCCTGTCGGTGAACGCTGGGGGAGACTCCAACGCGGAAACGTTTCAAGTCCACGATGCCTTCGCCAACAAACGATTTTCGATCAACCTCAACGCCGCCCAGCTAAAGCTTGCGGTGCGTCTCTCTTTGTGCGCGTTACGTTGAGGCCACCGCACACTCACAAGCTCCACTGTACAGAAAGGAGAAAGCGATCAGGCCAGGGAAAGCGCGCTCCAGAGTCGCCGCTACTCGGTACGAGTCACCCTGAGCGGTCGGTAATGCATTGTTTTGTTTTCCACTGACGGCCTCTGTGCAGGCGCAAGCGGCGGTCGTGCGCATCATGAAGTCGAGGCGGGTACTGACACACAACGAGCTTGTTAGTGAGACCATGGCGCAGCTCAAGTTCCCCTTCGAGGTACGTACGCCGGCGACATAGGCCGCACGAGGGTAATCTGTGAGACCTGGGTCGCTCATCAGGTTTTCGGTGGTGCAGATTGGGTGGCTGAAACGAGTCTTGGAGGCACTCATCAGCAGCGGTTATATGGCAAGAACGACGCGAGCCGATCAGGCTGCCTACGAATACCTGCCCTAGACCTTGGTTCATGGTCACCACCACACCCACCAGCTAACGGAAGAAGAGACCTTCATGTCGACTTCTGAGCTCGGGCTTTGGCCAGCTTTTTTCGTTGCTTGTTGTATTTTATTTCAATTTACTGCTCAATCGCAAGATGACAACCCCGGAGATGCCTTCCTACAAGAGCGAGAGGTGGCTCAAGCAGATGGGTTGGGAAGAGTGCGTAACTGGCCGACAAGAATCATTACCCAATTTTCTAAAATTGCAGATGAAGAAAATTGGGTTAATTTCGTTCTGATTCCTGCAGGGGCAAAGGTCTGGGACGTAATCAAGATGGAATGTCCGAATACATCAAAGTCTCCAAGAAGACTGACACCTTTGGGGTGCGTTGAAATTAATTTTGAAAAAAACCAAAACCAAATTCCAGATGAATTAACCAATCATTTCCCATTGCTGTTCTCATTTGCAGATCGGCGGGTCACGGTTGACGGATCGCGATAGGCAGGGCTTTGGCTGGTGGGACAACCTTTACAACAAGGCCGCCGCCAGCGTTCAAGTCGATCCCACCGTACACACTCCAATCTTCACTTCTTCCGCTCCTCGCTCACACCTAATGGCTGACAACGTGCACTCGCCCATGCAGGCGGCACCGACCATAAAGTCCAACGCGAGCGCTGCCAAGTCGAAGCCGACCACCAACTACGGCGCCCCGAGCTTCGTGAAGGCCGAACACAAGGTACACGTGCGCGAACGTCTCACCGGCACCATCACATGGACCCGCCCGGCGCTAAGCCATGCACGCACGCGAACCACCACTGCAGTACCAAACGCTGGCCGACAAGGCGCAGGAAGAGGAGGAGCAGAAGAACGGCGATGAGGAGAGCAAGCCCCAGCAGCAGCAGACCATGCAGCAGAAGTTCCCGCAGTTCTACGGCGGCGCGTTCGTCTCCGGTGGAGCCTTCGTTCTCGGGGCTTCGACGAAGGACAGCAGCGATAGCGATAGCAGCGACAGCGACGACAGCAGCGACGACGAGGAGAAGAACTATGCGTCGGGCCTCAACGAAAACGATCTGCTCGCGGTCTGCGGCGGAAGGGTACGCTTCAGCGCCATCAACCAATGAAACCAACCAACCAGGGGCTGACCAGTGGTGCAGATCCTGTCGCAGTGGAAGTACCCGGCGCAGGGCCGAGCGAAGCGGTTGGCCGAGCACGAACGGCAGTGGAAGGAGAACCGCGACAGAGAGCTGGCGCTCGAGAAGGAGAAGGAGAAGAACGAGGAGCAGGGACAAAAGGAGAAGAAGGAGAAGAAGGAGGAAGTGGTCCCCGTGGCCACGAAGGACAAGACGACAGAGGAGGAGGAGACAAAGAAAGAAAAGCGGAAGAAGAAGGAAAAGAAGGAGAAGAGGAAGAGGAAGGAAGAGGAGAAGAAGAAAAAGGCGAAGAAGGCGAAGAAGGAAGAGGAGGGAAAGACGAGCAAGGTGAGCAAGAAGCGAAAACGAGAGGAAGAGGAAGAGGACGAGGAGCCGGAGGAGAAGGAGGAAAAGGAGGAGAAGAAAGAGAAAAAGTCAAAGAAGAGCAAGAACAAAAAGGCCAAAACGACGGACGACAAGGCAGACAAGAAGAAGAAGAAAGAGAAGAAGGACAAGAAGAAGAGAAAGAAGGAACAAAAGTCGAGCGAGTGATTCGGAGAACGTAGAATAATACTCCAGTATCCTTTCTTGCATACATGCCCAGCCCCAGTCTCACGCCTCGCCCTTGATGACGTTCTTGAAGTCGCGCCGCTGGACCTTGCGGTAGCCCTTGGTCTTGCCCTTGGACTTGTCGCCCATACCCTTGAGCTGCCACATGCTTCCCTGTATTCAGACATCGTCACGCAGTGAGTGGTAGGCGACCGCCGCGCTGTAACACAATCAACGTTGGTTCAGAACTCAGCAGTACCGAGGAGTGCAGGCAGCACATGCACGGCGAGGTGTACTTCCAGTTGGTCTCCCGGTACATGGGGTATTGATCTGCGCGCACCACGGATGTGGTCACCACCAGGCGGGTGTTGTGACAAGAAAGGATTTGGAGCCATGGGGCTGTGGAGTACCCTTGGCGAACGGCTTGTGCACGATGAGGCGCCCCTCCTTGGGGGTGATCCGCCACTTCTCCTGCGACGTCAGCACCGTGCCCTCGGAGGTCTGTCCCTCCTCCTCATCTGCGTTCTCTTCGACGCCTTCTTCCTGTGGAAGATCCTTGTTCTTGCAAACATCGTTGCCTTGCTCGTCACCACTACCGTCTTCTTCATCGTTCTCATCCGCTTCGTCATCGTCTTCTTCTCCTTGCTCTTCACTTTCGCTGTCCTCATCGGCACTGCTGCAATCGCTCTCTTCCTCGCCCAGAGACTCCTGGCTTTCGCTCCCGCTTTCCACCGGACCCTCCGCTTCGTTCTTTTCTCGTGCGTTCTCCTCGCCTCCTCCTTGCTCAACGCCCTCGTCTCCGCGGCGCCGGTCCTTCTTCTCGGCCTTGGGCGCGTGCCGTAGCTTCCGCTGCTCGCGGCGCTTGCGGTCCTCCGCCTGCTTCTCCCGCCGCGCCTTCCTCGCCAGCGCCAGCTCCTCGGGCGTTTGCCGCAAAGCCCAGCTCGACCGCCGGACCTCGTCCGGGTCCCGCGGGGCCAACACCGCCCGCTCTCCCCCGCAACCGGCGCACACCGACACCTCCACCCGCGTGTAGTCCCTGCGCACACATGACGTGACGTCAGCATTCACCGCTGGTTCGGCCAACGGAGCGCAAGAGAAGTATAGCGCGCGCACCTTCCGCGCTTCTCTTTGCCAAAGCAGCCTTTGGCCGGGACGGCCAGCCCAGTCACCTACCACGCGACCAAAATGTGTACCTGAGTGTTGGATCCCGCTCCAGAGGGCTGCTGATGAGATCACGCACACACGCACCCGCCATGACAGCGATCCGATCACGTCGCGCTGGTGTACTTGCACCTCCATCACCTCCTTGACGCTGGTCGGAGTGTCTGCCGGCTGCTGGTCTCCGTGGTCGTCGTCGTCAGAGTCGTGGGAGTGCGCGAGCTGCTGCTTGAGCTCTTCCACCTGCGCCCAGCGCTTGCCCTTGTTCAGCGAATACGGCACCGCCTCTTCCTGTTCAACCGCGGGTGACCCAGTCAGGCCACCAACCACCCACGACCCCCGGCCACAAGAAAAGAGGGGAGGGGCGGTACGTCGGGGAAGGTCAGGATGGCCTGGCGGGTGTGGAACAGGTGGTCGTAGCCGTTGTTCCTGACCGTAGCCTTGGTCTTGATGCCACGCTTGCCCCTGGTTCGCCTCCTCTCCTCCTTCACTCTCTCCATCTCCACGTTCGTGCAGATTCTTCGCAATCCGACACATTTTCTTTATTTTGTTATTAAATCAGTACTTATCTGAAGAGAATACGAGAAAACGAAAAATACGCAAAAAATGACTGGTATGCAAGCGGCAGTTTTGTTTTGGCGGGAAACTGCAAACGCAACCATACCAGAATTGCTTGTTGTTGCCATTGAGCAAGCCGATGGAGACCGATTTCTTGTCACCAGCTGGGAAGGAAAATGGGAGCAGCAATGTGATGGCGTCGACGCCCCTCTCGTGGGATGCCACGCCGTCGCCCAATTGCCTGTATTCCTCGATTGCTACCCTCACCCTGGACTTCACATCTTCACCATTCCTTCCTTTATCGGCCGCTGCACCCAGACCCGTACTGAAGGAACGGAACAGGGCCGTTAGCGCGTCCCCAAAAGCTAGAGGTGCCTATATACAA